AACTCAGCAGCTGAAAATTAACTGAAGCCCAGGTGTCTAACCTTTGTACCCCACCACATGCATCCCATGTGTCTTCTTAAATTATACAAAGCTCTAAAATAGAACATAAAAATATCACAAAGTAAAGAAAACAATTAAACTATGGAAAACTCTAACAGTACTTAAGTAGCTGTGCTAAATTTTGTCATAATCTCCTTGCTGTTCCATTATACCATTTCTTGCTCATATTCCAACCCCATTTCTCAATTTCTTAATTTACAAAAGACTCGAAGTTTTTAAATAAAGGTATAGCATAGCTTTTCACTACAAAATTAAAGAATAAGTTAAACTCTAATATTATGGTTTTTCAAAAAGAGCTTCAAACAGAAACAAATTAAAGTTCCTTTAAGTGTCAAGGTTAATTTTCTCCTGCTTCAACATCTCAAATCTGAATCATCTTCAAGAGACAGACATTGCTAAAGCTTAACTGATCACCTCTTGGGACTCATTCATTCAAAAGCAATGAAATGGCTACTATGTGCCAGACAGTGTGTGGATGCTGAACCATGCAAAGTTCAACCAACCTAATGAAACGCAGAGATAAATAAGAAACAGGAAAAAGAGAACTTTACAATAATTTAATTTATTAATCATAATGGTATAACTGTGTGTCACTATTATGGAAGCACGGGTGAGAGACACCCAGCCCAGCCTGGAAGAGGTGGGGTTTCGTGATGGAAATGACCCTTGGGCTGAGTCATGAAGGATGAGCAACGAGCCAGGAGGCCTTTCTAGCACAGGGACAAGTTGGGGTGAGAGGAGATTTCTGAGGAGGAATATGGCAGAAAGAGAGAAGATAGCTCTACTTGGAGAGCTTTCTGCATCACATTACAGAGCCCATATTGTATACTGGAAGCAGCAGGTGCCACTGAGAGGATCTAACCAGGAGGCTATGTGTTCATTTTTGTGTTTTAGGGAGATCGCCGTGGAAGATAATAATACAGGAGAGGATGAAAGGGGAATAGGACTGGAGGCAGGCAGACTGCCTAGAGCAGGGATTAGCAAACTTCTTCCATAAAGAGCCAGAGAGTAACACAAAGTAAGGGGTTTTGGAAGCTCTACCATCTCTGTGGCAACTAATCCACTCTGTTATTGTGTGAAAGCAGTCGTGGTAAACAAATATGCATGGCTGTGCCCCAATAAAGCTTTATTTGTAGAAACAGGCAGCAGGTTTGGCCTTCAAGCCTTGGTTTGCCAACCCCAGTCTAGAATAGTTCTTTTCTGTCCAAAAGAACTTTCTGCAATAATGAAATGGTCTATAGATGTTCTATCCAATTCAGTAGACACATGGGGCTAGGAAGCACTGGAAATGTTACCAGTTAGACTGAGGAATTAAATTTTTAATTTTATTTAAATTGAATTAAATTAAATGTATATAGTCACATGTGGCTTGTGGCTACTCTACTGGACAGTACAGGGTTAGAGGCTGATGCAGGAGCCCAGGCAAGACATGATGAACTAGGGCACTGACAGCAGAGATGATTCCCACATGTTGAGCAGAGTTAACCAAGAGAACGGCCAGGCCACGTGCTGAACAGGAGCATATAAGAGAATACAGAGGGAAATATGTTGCATTCTATTTTAGACATGTTGATTCTGATGTGCCACCTGGGAGGAGAAAACACTTGACTATAATACAAAGAAGTAGGTAATATTAAATATGCTCTTTTTATAGAGAAAGCAACTGTAGTACAGGAATGTTACATAACTTAGCCAAGGTCAGAGCAAGTAAGCGGCAAGGTTAAATTGCAGCTTGAGCTTATATGATTCTAAAATTCATGCATAGTCCATTACACCACATTGAGCAAATGGGTAATAGCTGAAACCCTGGAAGCACAACCCACTCAGGGAGAAGCACAGAGAAGATTGGTGGGCCCAGAAGAGAGCCCTGGGGAACACCAGCATCTAAGGAACTGTCTCCGACAAAGAAGACTGGGAGGCGATGGTCAGAGAACTACAAGAACCAGGTGAGTGCAGGGTCACGAAAGCAAGGGGAGTTATGGCATTACAAGAAGGAGGTGGCAGTCCTCAGAGAGATACAATAAGATAGGCACCGAAGAGAGTTCACTGGATTTTGCATCTGGAAGTCAATGGTACCTCTAATGAAATCGTTCCAGCAAAATGACAGACGAGGAAACCTAATTTTGATGGGTTAAAGAACAAAAAAGATACTGCAAAGTAGATAAAGCAAACATAAACTATGCATTTCTAGTGCTGAGTAAATTTTAGCATATTGAATATACACTACATTTAACACTTACTGCATATGTACTGAATGACAAGCACTATGCCAGCTGCTTTACACACATATGTAAACATATAACAAAACATATAACCACATAGAATCTTCACAATAAACTGTAAGGCCTATAGGTATCATTATCCCTGTTTTACAGGTAAGAAAACTGAGGCTCAGGAAGATTAAATAATCTTCCACTCATGTACAATGCTAAGTGGGGGAGCTTGAATTTAAATCCAGGTCTTCTGCCTTCAGAGAATATTCTCTTTGCTCTCTATATTTTCACATCATCGGAGTCTTTAAAAATTGCAAAAGAACTCTTACTTAAAAAATTTTAAACGGCCAAGCCTAAGGAACTTAGTATCTTCTTGAAGAAATAAAATTATAACATATGAAACACTGGCAAACAATATAAAACAGTACATAAGTACCTGGGAAAGCAGCAGATCTGTAATCTAATCTCTCCTGTTTGGAGGTGGAAGGACCATCCCTTCCACCTTTGGCAAGAAAAAAGGGTGATGAGGGTAATTGCTTGGTAAGCATACTAATGGTATTTGTAGTAGAAGAGTCTCCATCCATGGAATGCTTTTAGGATATACCTAGTCTAGTATTGCGTATGATAAATGAACCTAGAATGTATGGATTTATGGGGTCTGACCCCTGCCCCAGGAAAGTTATATAAGCTATGTAACTATCTGAGTATTAAATGGAGATGGCTTCATAACCAAGAGAGCTCCTTCCATGTCAGCAATATGAACTATACATATCACTTAGAGACCTCATAGGTAACCTCATTCCAGAGAATGCCCAGTGCATACCTAGGGAGCCATGCTATTGGTCCTAAACATCTCCTTGCTTTGCCAGTATCTCGTGATTACTTGTATTCTTGAGATTATTAGTAAGAATTGATACAGGGTAAGCTCCCTAACTCACAAGAGTCTGATTTGACTCCCAATTCTCTGGGTTATCTCTGTACTAAGTTACAAAAGGCTACATGTAATTGTGGGAGCCTTCCCTGGGTTTGGGATTTTGACCTAAGACTTGAAAGATAGGTAAATTTTTCGAAGATGGAGGGAAAATAGAGGATGGGAATAAAGGAAGAAAAGTGAGAAAAATCCACAGGTGCGTGAGACAGTAAGGGTGCAAAACTAACTCTAATGAGTGGTAAGAAATAAGGCTGGAGACATGGCGCACATCACAGAGAGCTTCGAAAGTTCAGAGAAGACTCTAAAGAGGATGCAGTGTTTAGTAAGAAAGTAAGGTACTGAAAGTGGAACACAAGAAAGATGACTTTGGTAGCACTGTGAGGAAAGGACTGAAGAGTGGGTGAATGTGGAATTCGAATTAGGAAGTCAGTTGGAAAGCTATCGCAGTAATCAACCATGGAGATCCCGAAGGCCCTAAACTGGGACCATGGATGTGGAAGGAAAGGAGCAGCTAAACATTTCACAGAAAAAATGTCAGCAGACCCTGTCAAATGACAAGACAAGGGTAATAAAGGATAATAATAAACCCATTGTCAAAAATGAGCAACTACCTCCCTCCAGGAGGTGGAGCTTAATTTCTCTCCCCCCACCCCCTTTGAGAGTGGGCTATACTTCATGCCTTGCTTTCCAAGAGAGTAAAGAAAAGGAAAAACTTCACAGTGGAGAAACCTGGCAAACACCACCTCAACCACATGATGAAAGTTCACATCCCCAGTGATGTCACATGGATATCATGTAGCCCCTGATATGTGATGAGAAGGGCACTTCACCTCTACAGGATTCCTTCCGAAAACCTATAACCTCCGTCCAGTTATGAGAAAAACAGGCAAATCCAGACTAGAGGACATTCTACAGAATAACTGGACAGTATCCCTTAACACTGTCAGGGTCATGAAAAACAAGGAAAGACTAAGAATCTGTTACAAATGAGGGGAGACTGGGGAGGCGTGACAACTAAATGCAATATGGCAGCCTAGACTGAACCGAAGAACAAAAAGAAGATACTAATGGAAAAACTCCCAAAATCCAACAAAGTCTGAAGTTCACTTAATAGTAAAGTATCGATGCTGGTTTCTTAGTTTTGACAAATGTTCCATGATAATGTAAGATATTAATAGGGGAAACTAGGTGAAGGGTATATGGGAGTTTCTGTGCTATCTTTGTAACTTTCCTGTAAATCTAAAATGAAAAGATTATTTTAAAAGAGGGACTAAGATAATGTTGGTGTCAGAATTTGGGAACAAGAGGAAGTTGGTGTCAGGAATATTAACTGGACCCAAGATAAATCCAGTAAAACAAAGTATCATCATACCACAGAGAGAGCTGGGTTCAAGAGCCAGGACCACCACCTTCTAGCTTGGGAATCTTGGATAAGATTCCCTAACCTTTCCAAGGCTCAGTTTCCTCGTTTGTACAATGGTGATAATTCATATCACATACTCTTTTTTTTTTGCAGTACGTGGGCCTCTCACTGTTGTGGCCTCTCCCGTGGCAGAGCACAGGCTCCAGATGCGCAGGCTCAGCGGCCATGGCTCACGGGCCCAGCCGCCCCGCGGCATGTGGGATCTTCCTGGACCGGGGCACGAACCCGTGTCCCCTGCATCAGCAGGCGGACTCTCAACCACTGCGCCACCAAGGAAGCCCATACTCTCATTTTTATATTTAGGATCTTGGGGGAAAATTTCCCCAAACCAAACAGCCCAAGTTTAAAATAGTTAATGATATCAGTTACCTACCGCTGATTCACAAAAGGGCTGGAAAGTTCTGCAAGCAGGCGAAAATTCCCAATGTATCCCAGCACTCCATCCCTCTGGGTGATAAAACATAAAACATAATGTCAAAAACATAATGTCAGGGAAAACATTCTTATCAAAATTTCCAAACATCGAAGAAACATTCAATAGCTTCTCAGCATAAAATAATGATCAATATAAACACAAACCAAGTCTGCTAAACGGACTTTCTTCTCCGTGAAAACTTAGAAATGTCATTAGAATTCTACAGCATTTTTTAAAGACAACGTATTGTATACTTATGTTCACTTATGTATACCATATTCACTTAGAAAAACAGATTTCAAGCAGTTGTCTCACGCTAAACTAATGAATTCTGCACATAGCCATTAGTAACAGCATTCTCAAATTACCGTAGAAATAGTGATTAAAGTACTGTGAATTTAGGAAGTTGAGAAATTTTATAACAATTAAATATCAAATAGGAATGTAGTTTAATATCCATTAGGAGCACCTTAAAAATCTCAAGAGTGTATTTCACTTCCTAAGTAACAATATATAAGCCTGTGAGCAGATACACATTTGTCAAACATAACAACACATGTTAAACCATATCTGTCATATTTGACCTGAAAAATATATTTGTCAATCAGAAGATACTATAGCTAAAACACACACTTTGGGGACCTTTCTGAATTTAGAAACATAATGCCTAGTACTTTCCACTAATAATCGGAAAAGTATAGTAAATAAGCATTAGAAAGAAAACCGAAAGTATACATTCCAAAAATTTTACGTAATTTTAAGTGTTACTAGGTAAATGGAGTCATTCTAGAACTTCCAATTAAATCAATTGTGATTACACACCAAAAGAACCTGCCCTCAAAACATCAGATATACCAGAACTTCAGAAATACTTTTCCTACTGTTTATACCACACTGCCTTCCAAATGGGAAAAATATAAAGCAATAATGAAAAAAATAATAATGAATGGACTTTTTATTTGAAGATTCTCAGTTCTTCTCTATGTAAATTATTTTAGGGATTAAAAACTGAGAGCTGGACTGCAAGAGTTAGCTTTCCAAAATGAATCTAAAACTTTTTATAATCTCAAACTCACTGTCCTTAGTGAAACTGAAATGGGTGATGAGGAAGAAGAGGAGGACAGCAGAGAGACAAAGACAGTGGCCAAGACGAGCACTGTGCACAGAAGTGGTGGGAGAGGAGGATGCTCAACATTTTAGAGTCAACCAGACACAGCCACAGCAGTCCAAAGCCACATGACAATACACGGGAAATAACTACGCGCGTGCGTTATCACTTTAACACAGAAATACGTGTAAATTTGAATTTACATATTATTCTGTACTATTTACTTTTCTGTTACAATAAATGCATTTATTTAAACAAAGGACCAGTTAATGGTGGCAATTAGTAATTAATAGTGGGACTAAACAAATAAAATTGTGGAAAAATATAATATTTTTATAATGTTTCTTTCTGGCCTTTTACTTTTCTTTGTTAGATATTTAAACGTAGTAGGTTACATTATTATTTTTTTATTATGTCTTTAAGAAGCATAAATGTAAGACTTTTAAAAAGGAGAATGTAAATACAATAGGACTAAACAGTTATTACCTGTATCTAATAAAAAAATAATAATGATATCTTTCTATCCATGACACAGTAGGATATTTTTACTCCTTATTTCCTTTTCCAATAATACTTTTCTGAAATGCCTGCGGCCTTTAGGATAGCCTTATTTTTTTGCAGAAGTAAAACAACTACAGTTAAATGTAAAATTCACTTTGACTTGTAACTCTGCTCTTAGAGGCCCACATTACTGTTATCAGTCCAGTATGATGATCTCAAGCTAAATATTTTCTCAACAAAGGTGTTTAAGCATAAAATACATAAAATTTTACTTACTAGCAACAGCAGGCTTTTAGAATTATAAGAATTAAGTTTCCAGCTCTCTAAGAGTATCTATCCACTTTGTATCTACAGGCTTGTTCTGGTAGATCAGCTGTTTGTAAGGTCATTTGTATGTATAAATTCATCGTATATGCCATCTATTTCTAAAATATCTATCATTTTAAGACACTCTAGAGTACCCTAGATGGATTCCAATAAGTTACAATTTTAGTTTTTAAAAAAAGTACTATTTAAGTAGCTACCCTTTTCTGGTAACAGTTTTGTGTTTTGTTTTGTTTTTTTAATTTATTTATTTTATTTATCTAATTTTTTTGGCTGCATCGGGTCTTCATTGCTGCGCGCGGGCTTTCTCTAGTTGTGGCGAGCGGGGGCTACGCTTCGTTGTGGCACGTGGGCATATCTTAACCACTGCGCCACAGGGGAAGCCCCCATTTTTGAGTTGTGAAGCAGTTTTATTTCCAAAAAATGAGCCATTATTTCACTGTATGAGTTTTTGTCACAATCTGCACATAACATCAAGCAATGCACGTTCCGCGAGTTCATCCTTTTCTAGCTCCTCGTGGCCTCTTCAACGATCATCAGTTTTGGAGAACCAGTCCATAAATACCTGTTATACTGCAGATGTTCTATTTGGACAATTCATTATAATTAAGCAATTAAGTTTGGGGAGTCAGGGATAGTTAATGAATGATCATGGGCCTGGGGTGTGCAGGCCAGGATTTGAACCCTAGCTCTCCTAAGTGGCCTTGGGCAAAGCTGACCAAAACCTCAGCTTCTCCATGTGTAAAACAGGCAGAATACCGTCTTTATGACAGAATTGATGTGAGAATAAGACAAAATGCAGGGGCTTCCCTGGTGGCACAGTGGTTAAGAATCTGCCTGCCAATGCAGGAGACACCAGTTCGAGCCCTGGTCCGGGAAGATCCCACATGCCGTGGAGCAACTAAGCCCATGCACCACAACTACTGAGCCTGTGCTCTAGAGCCCGTGAGCCACAACTACTGAAGCCCGCGTGCCTAGAGCCTGTGCTCGGCAACAAAAGAAGCCACCACAATGTGAAGCCCGTGTGCAGCAACGAAGACCCAATGCAGCCAAAAGTAAATAAATAAATAAAATTTTTTTAAATTTAAAAAGACAAAATGCACACTAATGGCAAACAGGAAAAATACTAAAACAGAAAAGGCACTCTAAAAAAAATTAAGTTAAAAGTGAAACTGAACCAGGTAATTTTTCTTACTATAGCTATAAAGAAGATTAAATAAGTTTGAACAAGTCCTAAAAGGACCTACTCTTTCTTTCCTAGACAGAAGCCTCCACCTCTAGTCACTGATCCCTGAGCCTTGGATGACTACATGGGACTAAGGGCCACACCTGAAATGATGACGATGAATGGATGATAAGAAAGACAGATCACCATCACCATTAGTAAGGACTAAATGTAGGTTCACTACTGCTACTTTACTATAAAAGATGAATCATATTAATAATCACTCCTCCAAAAGTAGTTAACGTTACTTTCTAATTGCTGCAGAAAAAAATCCAGGTTGAAAAGGAAAATAAATACTTCTAAGAGAAGACTCACCTGTTTTATTTACCCAATAGGTTATATCAACCTTTTACCTCACTTTGCACAACTATACTGCACCCAACCCAAACTTAATTCTTCACCACAAGTTTATGCTCATGACCATCACAGCATGGTAGAGTTAAAATGGCCTCTGAAGATTGCCTATTTCAATTACCCACAGATGTTTTAAATCCCTTCTACAAAAGCTCTTCCAGGTTGCCCCCCAGCGTGGACAACTCCATGGTGAGTAGAGTAGCATCTCCTAAAGAAGCTTTCCAAAAGTTCCAGAACTACACTGTACCCTCTTTTTATTTTTTATTTTTTTTTGCGGTACGCGGGCCTCTCACTGTTGTGGCCTCTCTCGTTGCGGAGCACAGGCTCTGGATGCGCAGGCTCAGCGGCCATGGCTCACGGGCCCAGCCGCTCCGTGGCATGTGGGATCCTCCCGGACCAGGGCACGAACCCGCGTCCCCTGCATCGGCAGGCGGACTCTCAACCACTGCGCCACCAGGGAAGCCCTACTGTACCCTCTTTGACGTCCACCTGCCAGTCCTACTCCTGATCCTGGCTATCCAAAATCTCTTTTTCATATGACAACCCTTCAAATATTTAATGACTGTCCAAGTACATGTCTATCTTCTTTCCAGATACCGTTTCCAATTTGCTCAGAAAATTCTGGCCCACCCTCTTTAAAGTTTCTGAGCCCTATGAACTGCCAGTATTCATAAAACAAAAACAAACAGATCCAACAACAAAAACCAATGAATCTCTTGATGAAAAGAACCATTTACACATAATAATCTCTACACGTTAACCAGTTAAATCACATACGCACATACATCTTTTTGAGGGGACAGGGTAACCTTCCTAAAGAGAATTTTAGTAGAACATGTCACTACCCTTAAAAATGTACATACCACTTGCCCAGAAATCCCACAAAATTAGTCTTTGAAAATAATTATGTATAGGCACAAATATGAAAACATAAGAATGTTTCCTCAAGTTATACACAATAGTGAAACTGAGAACAAACACACAGCAATAGGGAATTGATTAAATATGATTATATATCCATATGCCATCAACAGAGATAATGATAGAACCAAATGGCCTGAAAATAAAAACATTTTCAGAACTTGCTGAAGACTTAGAGAGTAAACCTCCTTTACCCTCTTTCTTAGACAATTATTTGAGGATATGCTGCAGCACGTGTCAGTAAACCAAGACATATGGGATGCAGGAAACAGTGACCCCAAACCAGGGGAGTAATGGCAGGAAGCCTGGGACATCAAGTAGCAGACCTAGAGAGCAGGAGAATGGAGAGCTCCAGGGGCAGGTATCTGGGGGAAAGATGACTGCAGAGATGGGATGCTATCCTCCAAGATATGGAACAACTCAAATATAAGACAAAGGCGTATGTTACAAGAAAAAAAGGAAGGCGATTAGAAACTCGAAGCAAAAATTAGACAGGAAATGTAATCCTGGTTGTGCAGTGAACTATTTTAATACAGTCATAATAAACACTTTATTTTCTCTGTGTAGGATCAACTGTATATAAAGGAAAACAATATGAT